ATATAAGCTTATTCAGTCAAATATTTCTTTTCAGAGATTGTTTGTAATTCAATGACAGTATAAATAATTATATCTATGTCCTTATATGCTGTTTTTTTTACATCTGCACACACAGAAACACATCTGTTATTTGAAATAGATTTAAAAATGTATTTGTTATGGACAATTTTATGGATATATCAAAGGTTATGAAATCATTTTTAATTGTTTTGCTTTCAGAAAGGATTAATGCAAAATGTACAGAATAAAAAGGAGTAAATTCAGACAAACAAGAACCAGCAGCCATTTTGCAGTTTAGTTGTAGTTTGGTCTCATTTCCCTGTACCCAGCTATCACCCAGCTTCCTCAAGTTCCATGCCAAGCCACCCCCCCCCCCCGAATTCCTTTCACTATTCAAAACCAAGAACAAAACAATAACAGAAAATAAATATGTAAGTATTTCAGTCTGCCCAACATAGTAGCTAGCACCTGGTGACGCAATTTTGTATTTTGGCCATTTTATACACATAGCATAGCAGTAAGTCCCCGGCAACAATACTGACTGATTAACAAGGTAACAATTTGCTTCATGACCAGATACAAACTCATGTATGCCTTTATTTTTCAATATATAATTAATCTTACTTTCACCAAAAAAATATTCTTGTCATTCAAGGATTCAGGAACACCTTCACCATATTTCTGAAGTTCTTCATTTGTTTTCTGGAAGTTGTCTTTTATTTGCTGTTCTAAAGCTGGCAGTGATTTCTGCAAAAAATCGTTAACAAAACAAAAGGTGTATTGTGGATTGACAAAACCATTCATTGATAAATCTGACATTCTGCAGTAGTGAAGCCACCAATTTTAGCAGTTGCCAAGCAATATAACAATATTCACAAAGAGGGCTGATCCTGGGAATCTCTTCTACAGAATGAAGGAGATGCCTAAGGATAAAAATCTGTATGCATATATAGTCATCATGTATTGTTTCAGGGACGCAGCTTGAGTAGAATGTCAACTTGTCCCCCAAATCCTTCATTCTCTCTATAAAAACAGGGTAATTGGGATCCTAATACATGCATCGCAGCATGCAACGGAGCATAATTAGGATCATGGTGTGAAATTGTACATGTAACACAATGGTATCTTTCCTCTTCGACCTTAAATGAACTGACAGTTCCTTACCTGAATGTGCTCAATGAGTTCTTGTGTAAGCCTTTCTGCCAGAAGTGGGATGGTAGCAATGCCTTCTTCCAAAAGAGGACTGCAGGAGATTAGAGTGAATAAAATTCAAATACTACTCAATAATTTGAAGTTATAATTTTTAGTATCTCAACTTTCCTCAATGTGGTGCCTTATAGATGGACTGAGACTGAGACTATCATTCACTTCACTGAAGTTTCATGTGTGAGCTGGACTCTGAGATGTTTTTCTCTCATGCGCTTAGCACTTCAGTGACTGGAAGTGCTAAGCACATGAGAGAAAAATGTCTCAGAGTCTAGTTCACACATGAAACTTCACTGGTCTTTAGTTTATAGACAGATATAGATAGATACACACACACACACACACACACACACACAAAAGTTGATGTGAAAAGGAGCACATTTTGCAAGACCATGCTCAGCAATAGAACAAAAGGATTGTTTCTAAATCCTACCTGAAAAAGTTGTGCTCTTCAAAAAACTCCCTCTCTTTCTTGATTGCATCAGCCAAGCTCAGTTTATTAATGAGGTCATGCTGACTACGACATTTAACAATCATGTATCCTTTTTTCAGAGGTACTCTTTCATTTCGGACAATACGAACTGTCTCATTCTCAGTTCCTTTGTCAACCAAATCAGGCTTGGTTAGGATACCTATAAAATAGTTGATGGAAAATAAAGACCTGCTCATTTACTTGAGACAAGTTGGGGCTTAATCTAATAAAGGCTTCACTCCTGAACTACATTCAGTGTGAAAAAGTGAGTGTCCCTAAACATTCTCACCACCAAGTAGTTATGTCCCTCTCCACACTGCTGGGGTTGGGGAAGTGGCCTTCCAAGTTAGGAGCCATGTGTAGGCCCTGGTCCACTAGACTTCTGCTTTACAGAACCCAATTAAACAGTGAGTCAAAAACATTATACTGGTTCATTGATTTATGGAGGAAAATGATCCAAAGCTACATATTTGTGTGTTTAATTAGGTTCTCTTTATCTAGTTTGAGGACTTGTATGGAGAACAGATAACTTTTTAGGTCATATTTATGCAGAAATATTGAAAATTCAAAAGGATTCACAAACTTTTAAGCACCACTGCAGTTTTTCCATCTAGATGTCAGGTTCGGTCAGCGCGGGGCTTCAGGGAAGCACGGGGCTTCAGGGAAGCA